GGCCTCTGTGTTCTAAGCTTTCTGAGAACACTGGTTAAAGTGCCTAGGAACTCATTCATTTATTCAACATCATCAACTCCTGCTACGCACACAGCACTGACCAAAATCAATAAAAGAACAAACAGTACCACTACCACCACCGAAGGCAACAATGAGTATTAATGCACAGGACTTAACTGTATTAACTACATTCCAGACTCTACGCTAAGAACATCATTGCTGTCCATCCTCACCTCAACCTTGATTTCAGCATTCTCATCTTGCAGGTAGGAAAACTGATTTAGGAAGATGAAGTCACTTCCCCCAAGGGACAAAGCTAGTAAGAGCAGAAGAACCCAGATCTGTCTGCCTCCAGAACTGGGAAGGAATTTTAACTGCCTCACTCTACTCTCCCCAGTGCAGTCTCTCTTCTTTATGCTGTCCCCGGCTTTCCAGGTCCCCTTCAGCATCTGCTACTCAAGGTCAGGAAACCTCATCCCTTCCTTCTATCTTCACTTGAACCAGCTCCCCAGGATGATGACACTGTCCCTTAGGCCATCTCCACATCTAAAGCTCTTCCTAAGGTGGGGCAGGCCTTCCCCAAACCGGAGAGCCTTTGCCCTTTCCACTCCCATCTGGCCTTGGATCATATGGAAGGACTGCCCCAGTAACCTAGGGCTCTGACTCAATCCCTGAATTTTCAGTTCTTAATGAGAAGGAAAAAGAAATATAGTTAGGGATAGAAAGTCAAGGATTTGCATCCCAGCTGTGTCATGCGGTTGCTTGGGCAATAAAGCACTTCCCCTCTGTAAAACAGGATTACAGGGCTGCTGAGATTTACGTGGAAGATCCACGTAGAGCACCTGACACACAGTCTGCTCCTCGGAAGCCCAGTGTGTGGCTCAGTGATTAGTTTTTTCTCCCTATATCACCAGCAGTCACCCTTTCCCTTCACCCTTACTGTGATGTTCTCAATCACTGTTGTTTAGGCCTTGCAAGGAAGCCAAAGGCATCTGAGACAGAGAGAAGCCTTGTCTAGTCCCTCCCCCACCCCAGTGTCCTGCCAGGACCCCAGGACTAAGGGACACAGCTTCTCCTCTGGTACTGCCAGGGGATGTGACAGCACAGCCCCAAGGGCTGGGCTCAATAAAAGACCTTGTTCTACAGCACAGAAAGGGGGAGGGTGGTTTCGGACAAGTGGAGACTGACCCTGGGGAAATGTGTGTTCATGTGTGTGGTGGTGGTGGTGAGGGCGGGTCTCCGAAGACTGGGAAGCATCAGTGAGTGGTGGAACCGTTCCAAGGAATCTGCAGCCTCAGGCTCCTTGGGGTGAGCCCAGCTGGGGCTGCAGATGACGGGTGGGGATGGAACTAGGTTCCTGTCCAGATCAGAAAAGTCTGGCCCAGACTGAAGCACATGGCCCAACAAATACCTGTATAATTGAACTCAGATGGTCCCCTGGATGGCAGTGGGGTCTGTGTGGGTATAGCACGCCCTCTCAACCTACTGCCATGGGGCTGATTCTGAGTCATAGCCACCCTACAGAAGAACCGCCCATCTTTCTTCCACAGCAGCTGGTGGAGTTGAACCACCAACCTTTTTGTTAGCAGCTGAATGCTGTAACCACTGTGTCACCAGAACCCCTTGTGCCCTTTCTAGGATCTCTTAATCTCAGTCACCATCTCGCCTGTCCTAGCAGAATATACTGATTAAGAATAAGAGTACAAGTTCAACAGGCAAACTTGTCTGGATTCGAAATCCAGTTGACACCATGACTTAGGTCAGTGTAACTGGGCCAGTAATCAATCTCTCTGACCCTTAGTTAACTCCTCTGGCAATGGGAACCATAAAAGGCCCTACCTTACAGAACTGTCAAAATGATTAAACGACACAATGGTGCAAAGCACCTGGCATGTGCTCAGTGCTCACTACATTGTAATGATTGTTTTTTCTGCACAAAGATCTAGAGCCCAAGCCATTTTGGGACTGGGGAGAACAAGTTCATGGAGGAGAGCACATCTGGGCCTCCCCCTTAAGATTCCTGACAGGGGTGGGGAATTTCACACAATTATTTACCAAAAACAGACACGTCTCTGCCTTCTCTGAGCTGGAGGCACACAAGCAATGATGAAATTCTGGAGGTGGGCGGATGGGAGGGGGGCTGGGGAATGCCAGGAGGCCAATGGCTGTTTCTCACAAAGCTGCAAACCTGGACTCTGTAGGAGTGGTGAGGAGAGAGACTGTGTGTACAGCGGCCTCCCTGGCTACAGTGGCAACAGAGGCAGGGTTGGCCAGATGACCAGAGCTAAGAAGGTCTTGACCCTGGGTGCTGGCAAATCACAGGAGCCAAATATATCTTCAAGACTGTCATAAGCACAAATCCATTTTTATGTGCTGGGCTGCTGTAATATTTGTGGCAGCCCAAGGCAACAGTCAGAGGGGCTGGGGGTTTGGCACCACACAGGCCCTTCTCCGCCTCACCCTGGCTCTCGCAGGCAGGGGGCGGGGTTGGTGTCAGCTGGGGGCTCACATTTTTGTTTCATAAACTGCTGTCAGCAGAGCCTGAAAGGAGAGGGTGGAGGCACCAGGGCTGACCTCTGGTGACTCACTCAGCCCTGGCCCCCTCCTGATCTCGGTTTCCCTACCCCGATTCAGTGAGCCAGAGTTGGGGGGGGCGCTTAAACTTGCTGGGTCTGCAGAGTCTGACTCAGAGGACAGGAGCAGGGGAAACATGCAGGGAATGTGGCCCGGGAAAGAGGGGGATTGCAATTCCTTCCTGTCCATTGGAACACCCTTCTGGTACAGACTGGCCTCGGGGAGAAAGAGGCTAACGTCACCGCTACAGCTCCAAACAGGGAGGGAAGACAACGCTGAAAGAAGGCTCAGGGAAGACACGAGGGGACCTGGGACCTGTTTTCCCTGTTCC